CCGTTTGTCATTCATGATTTTAATGAGATACACATTTTTACGTAAGGGATTAAAATGAATAATACAATATCATACAATGTTCTATGACTGACAAAAGATCAATGCTATCATAAAATAAAAGCAGGTGAATGACTAATGATCAGTGTCCGTAATACTTTAAATATCCAGCAAAAGGCAATAATGAGTTAGTTCTAAAAAATCAGGTGAACTATTCAAAAATATCATAACTCGGTCTTCCGAGTTTAGACGAACAAAACAGTGGGATTGCCAAATAATCATTTATCCTTACAATCAACACCGCTTAACGAAGTAGAAAACATGATGAATTATTGATTCTGGAGACGATCTTCATAATATATTTACGTCTTTAAAGCTTCTCGTTTTGTTTCGCCACCCAAATGTAGCATTAGAGTCAACCAAAACTAAAAAGAAACTTCACTATACTCATTGATTGTACTGGAGATATCGTTCGAAATTATTTGTAACAAGATTTGTATACCCGTTCCTAATCTAAAACAATGCCTTATATCTTTTTTTAACCTTTGTTCTCACTCATTTTCTTTATCTCTTATTTTCCCACTATTGTTGGCATCGTGATCACAGCCGACGTAAATTTTTTTTCCGTAATCACTGTCAAATCCAGTACAAACGTGGGCTTATTCAATGGGATCAATCGTATTTGTACTAGGGATATTATTGAGGGGAAAAAAGCTCTTAGGTGAAACATTAATGAATGATGGTTGTTCATTGGAGTGTATAAACCGTTGGAAAGGTAGCAATATGAGTAGACCTACGACGTTTTAAGCACCCGAAAAAACGAGTTTGTATTGCTCTACCAATTCAGAGGCGACTCAAATAGTCACACGTTGATATAAAGAATTAAATTATTTATCAGTAAGACACTGCGTGCAGCTTGTAGCGTGGCGTCGAGTTGAGGTTAACTATGAACACCGCTACCAGGAAACACGTGCCAGATAAATCAGAAGGCGTAAGAAGCTCGTTCCAAATGACTCCATAAAATCCCCGAGAAGCCGAATACCAGAAGGCAATTAATGGACCAAGTCGATGTTTATTTGCTGGCGATCTCGTGGCATCGAAAGGATACCGAGATCGTGCCAGGATACAAGCTTGGTTACAGAAGGTAACCGAATTCGCGCGAAGGTACAATCGAAGTGTAAGCGAAAGAATGGAAGCAGAAAATAGCTGTCATTAGCACAGTCAAACAAAAGCACATTAAAACAAGCACTGGTACAGTTGGTTGTAATAATAATTGTTTTTATTAAACCAGTCGTGTTCTCGTGATAAACGTGAGTCACTACACAGCCCAACTCATCATTATCGAAATATCAGTGTCTTTGTTTTCCAAACAGCCTAAACAGCATGTAAGCGATTGTGTCACATCCCATTGCATCTATGATTTCACATGTATGTGTCAAAACACATACACGGAGAGGAGCAATCGCGATTTGCAAGTAAGGTTGGGTGAATACATACAGAAATAACTACAAAAACATGAATCCCAATGGTCAAAAAGATCACAGAATAGTTTTGCATGAATGTTTTCAAGAGCGGTATACTAAGGTTTATCGAAGCCTTGGTTATACGAAAAATGAAGCCCCCTTTGTTTGTTCAAAAACATTTTATCCTTACCCTTAACCTACCCTAGTATTACCGATTTATTAACCCCTTACCTTTTGATTTGTCCAGTTGACCTTTTATTTTTCATACATAACGACTTAACAGGTAAACATGTGATCAGAGTTTTCGAAATGTATTACTCAAATTTATCTGTTTGAAGCGCATTAAATAAGGTGTTCACTTTACAAGTTTAGAATAATTATTACATAAATTAATTTAGGGAATACAAGTATATACATCCTGTTTTGATTTACACTAAATGCGCTAGGATTAGTGGTACTAACTGGTTGTCCAAACTGTAAGTAGGTGAAGATGGGATCGAATCTGTTGTTCACTAAATGATAGTCGAGTGTTAAGACCACTAAGACACAAGTGTGATATCTACAAGAAGCAAAACCAATTAACTGGCAATACCTAATTGACCTCAGCACAAGTATCTGTTTAAACTTAAATGCTGCAAGTGAATTGTGAGGAAGACAAACACAATCATCCAACTCAGTGAGCGAAAATGTCAGATCGGTATTTATTTAGAGATACAAGTCACGAACCGAACAGTGTAAGAAATTCATAGTGATCTTTTTTATTCTGAAGTAATCATTTAGAGTTAGAGCTAACAAACCATTGGGGATTCTTAAATAGTCAACGTTGTGGCCTTTTCATTCTTCGTCAAATTTTCATGAGAACTCTATTTGCCAAGCTGATAATTTGAACATTTGCTTGTTGCATTTGATCAAATATTCATGTTAACATAAAACTCACGGTAGGGGTAAATAGACACAAGAAATACTCTTTCAACATTAAGAATTGTTTGTGCTGTATGATTGAAATTAACAATGTCAAACGGAGTGTGATAACCCTTAATTCACCTCAAAAATCTCAACTGAAGAGGAACTGTACATTAAACGTAGAACCATAATAATATGTTGTCTTAAATTAATTCTAATCAAACAACATCAATTTGATGTCCATAGTAAACGATACCAATAATATGAGTACTTCTATCAATACTGTATGTTCAAAACACTATCGAAATCTCAGCATAAGATATACACATCAATGTGAAATTTCACTCAAGATGGAACCCATATAAAAAACTGCATCGAGTCAGAGCAGCAAATAAGGTGAGATTCGATATAAATGAATCTAAAAACATCAAAATAAGCCAAAGTAACGTTATTCACCACAGTCAGACCTCGTTTGGGGTACCTATGAAATCCATGGAGCACTAGACAGCCAGTTCTTCCTAGTATGGGACCCATCAGCAGTGTGCACACACGATTCTATCAGGGATCTAAACCAGCTCTCACTGTGACCCCCTGACCATTAGAACAAGTAGGTCGGCTTCCGGTATTACAATTCCAATATCAATCAATGGGAGATTTAGTTGAATAAACTACTTGATGCCCCTAGTAACAGTTGTTTCACTCTGGAGGTGTTTGAACTCAACTAGTTACGATCTCAAACTAGAGCTTTAGGAACATCTTGAAGTATGTCAGTTGTCAACTGTTTATTGTGATTTAGTGGAAGAGCTTTTGCGGAGGTTGATTTACCCTGAGACCTTAGAACCTAGGGTCCGATTCCTTGAGGGTTTGCGGGCGCGCACTGCTGAGGAGTCGCACACTAATGAAATAACTGACCAGTGCTATATAGCAGTTAAAGGTACGCAAATTGAGATCATTTTGCGATGAATACAGCCTGCAAAATTGACCAGTTTCCTCATAACCCCTCCAAGTCAAAATTAAGATTTTTGATTGGGAGAGGAATGCTGAGTCTAAAAAGCGAATAGCATTTTTTAAGCTTCAATAAAATACAGACAAACGAATAGAACCAAGTCTCTGAAATTTTAGTTTTTGTCATCTACACAGATAGAAGAACAGACAAAGTGAACAATTCATTATTCTGGTAAATATGGTCCCGAATCTTTAAATAAACCAATATTGACTAAAAGACTTTACACAACAGATCAATCAGTGAGTGAAGAATTAAAAACAAGACGAGAAGCTACTCGTCACAATACATTACGATGCTCGTTGACAAACAAACTCTACGTAGAAAAAAGTAAATTCATTGTGTTTCTGGTTTTAAATCCAACAGTGTATAACAAGAATATGGAAATGTTTAAAAAAACTAAATTCTTTACTTATATAAAACAGATTTATATATTACTAACTAACTCCGACAAAACAGTAAGACGATCTACCATTACAAGAACTCATGTTTGTTTATACTTTGGATTGAAGTTATCCTTTGAAACACTTCAAATAATATACGTGTAAATAAAATCTAACATAAATTGGTATATCTCATTGGATCCGAATACCTTACAACTCTTCACTGAATATAATACACTATTACTTGTGTTCGAATGACCGTTGTAAAAAACCTTAATTTTTCACAGTATAGATAAAATATTAGAGTGAATGTAATAGAGCAAATTTCTAACGGTAAAATTACTATCAGCTAGGATATATTAATGAGATAATGAGGCGAATTTCGCTTCGATACATTAGTAATTATAAGCAGTTCGAGAGTGATAACCCTGTGACTTTCCAATATGTTTCCACATAATATTGAGGTATATTATAGTATTATTCAATCTCCTTATTATAAATGCTTTTCTCTCCATCAAACAGAAATAATCTAAAGGTTCCGATTGCAAAAAAACAACGTTAGGTCAAAGCCAGTGTCATAACATGTTTCAAGTTTTGACTTAGTTCAGTCTCCTTTCGGTTAATACTCAAGTCTGCTACAGATTTCTTGCTTCATTCATTACTCCTGATGACCGGAATATATCCTCTGGATTATGGCTTTTCTAGTTTCCAAATTAAAAGGATTGATCAGTGCTAATTTTAATGAGGCAAGATAATAAGTACCAAAATAAACGATTAAGTAGATTATCGGTTGCATTAATCATACACACTGAATAACATCTTAAAATCAACCCAGGTAATATAATTGTTACCATCATGATGCCTAATATGTTTTTAGTACAACCTCTAACCAGATTTAACCAAAAATGGACAAAAAAGTACATTTGTAATAAACTAAACAGCTGATCATAATGTGTGTGTGTGTGCGTCTATGTGTTCAACTTAAACTATACATAATTGACCAAATTCAAAGTTATTAGAGTTAGTAACAGAAATAATCCATTGTAATCAACTATTTTAAAAGCTTATTCCAATGAACTAGTTTGTATATGCTATGACAACACAAGTGTAAATAAAACTGAACATATTGACAGTTGATATTGTATAAATATTCAAGATAAATAAATAAATAAATAAATAAATATAAAGAATCTCTATGCAAATTTCTATATAAATCAATACCAAAAATTACATATTAAAATTGTCACCCACCAAATAAGTTATCTCAATTGTATAAAACTGAATCCGTCTCGATTGAAAATATGAAAATCCTTTAGCCTATTTTAAAAATAATAAGGGCAGATAGTCATAAACTGTGACGGCCTAAAAAAATACAATCAATATTAGCATACAAGACCTGTCTGTCTAGTCTTTCATTATTTTCTCTAATAATTTTAACGTTTGGGTCAGAGAGCGCATAGAACGCCACTGGTCTAGCGATCGAAACCCGGGTGACTAAAAAGGACAGGCTAAAAGAGTGAATACAAACAGGCGTATTTCATGTAGCGAATATACATTAAATAGATTGTCTGTCATTAGTTAACATGTTCAAGGTCAAAGTAATCATCGTGCTGTTATAGGAGTGGTTTAATAGAAATAACTTGACTACATCTATTTTAATCGATCATTTGTCCGAATAGGCTGTTGTTTGACGTAATCAAACTAGACGGCGATTTATATTGTACATTTATATTTTATATTTTTAAACATGGATAAACTTGCCAAGTGAATTATTCATTATATAAGCGGACATACTTATTGAAACAACCTATTTTTCAACGAATACATTTTATACAGGGGATTCGTTTCACAAATTAATTGTCAACATGATATAACTATCATAATTTACAGAAATTATGAATACAGTTAATTCACTCAATAAATGAATATTATCTACAGAGAATTACAATGAAATTCATCTTCTTTTTCTAACTTAATGAAGAAAAGTTTCTCACATGAACATATCTTCTTAGTCCCCCCCCCCGTTTCAGGTCATGAAATTTCGTTGCATTATAGATTCTAAATTCACTAGTAAGTTTTGATAAACTATTCTATACTTGTGAAAATTGTCGAGGTTATCTCACTATTTTACCTATAGATTTTGCCTTATGAATAGGTATTATTGATTAAATGTTATAAACAACGATTGTTTAATAATTTCGGTTTTCAATCAAACTGTTCGGTGAGATTATAATTTATAGACGACGTTTGAGCAACGCTGAAGTGACCTTGAGAGTGTCTGCCTGCTTATTAGGGTTAAATAAGGGTTATGAAGCAGTTTAAAGAATAAGGATTATGATTTACAGTTGATGGTTAAGGTTAGGAATTAGATTAGGGTTTTCATCACGAATTGACATCAGCTATAATACCTGTTATCGTAAATCTGATTGGTTCATCCATAAATTATAGTCTCACCAAGTTGGCGGTTGTCAGTGTTTTGATAAACCAGTATTGTATATTGGTCATTCTATTTATGAAGCCTTTATCATATTGTGAAATTCATTGAACAGAATTAAATACTAGATTTTCAGAATTAAAACTCAAGGTACCAACTATCAAATTAAGCATGATAACACAATCATGAATTTGGATGAATGAAAACTACATTGAAAAGAAATAAGAACCTTAGCAGATAAATATGTGATTTCAGTCTAGTTTTCTAGGAATGTGATGTAGTTGTGTAGATATGTCAGTTAACACACGTTTCATAATGGACAGTCTGACTTTAGAGGGTGAAGGTAAATGGAAAATTGTTATATTTTATATTATTTTCACTTATTACTAGTGAATATTTATATATAACATATTTCAAATTCTTTTTATTTCTACGTATTCTCGTAGAAGATAATCGATAGTACAGTTTCGCCGTATAATTATGCATGGAACAACTTTGTTTCTATTAACTAAACTTTTTGATTACTAACAAGAGTATACAAATATGCCTGGTTCATTATTGGGTTCTGAGACAAATGTATCGTGAATTAAAACTGAACAAAATAATCTAATTTGCACAATTGTCATGATGAGTTACATTTTGACTGATCGTTTATCAAATATGATTTTCAATGGTTGAGATCATGAGTCAGTTGAAGCTAGACCATCATGGGAAACCTGGAAGCACTTGATGGCTGTTTCGTCCTGTTATGGGACTCCTCAGTAATACGCATCCATGATCCCGCCTCGCGAGCTTCGAACCCAGGTCTTCCATAGTGGTCTAGCTTCAACGGACTCATGATCTCAACCATTGAAATCACTATAATATCCACAAAACCCCTTCTGATATTAATCAAATACAATTCTGCTTGTCTCATTAATTACTGCTTCGATTAAATTAGCCCTATTTCTTAAGTGTTGTGTTGTTTATGTTATATTCACTGTCTAGAATCTAATCTGTGTGATGAAACAAGGTCAAAGGTCATTAGGCCCATCTACTAGGCTGTATAGAAGATTGTGTTCTTATATAAAGAAAATATTGTCCTTATATTCTGTATCTTCAAATTTATGAAGTTAATTGAAGTTTGACATTAATCATTTGTTAGAGGGAATGGTTCAGTTCCAGTCATGTGTTAGGTCAGGTGGTTATGCTCCTACTTCTGTGTAAACATAAGATAGATATGAGTGCCCGAACAGCTCGTCTTATCACCTGACCAAAAAACAGTTAATAAGTAATGAGAAAACAATGGAGAATATATATAGCAGTTGAAGGTCATTCGTGTTTATTAATTTAATATGGTGTTTCTCAAAATCATTGCCTCAACGCACGATGGTCGCTGGTGTAGGATTATGTTGGAAGAAAGGTAGAGGCAGACAAACCAGGACGTGACATTAGTCCATGAAGACACTGACTGTTGGACTGACCCATATACGTCGGTGCAGACAACCTGGTTGGGATCCGTTTGATTATCGTAACCAATATTTGTGTAATATGACTCTGAATCATTCTTAATGGTGCAGGTACATTCACTCATTGTCTTCCCTTATATCCTAAATTTCTAAATTACCTAATACATTTCTTATCGAACTAATTCATATATTCGACTCGAATCGTTTCTTCAATCCGTAGCCTTGACTATCGCCTTCAATACTGTTTTTGCCTCTATTACTCTGAGATTTGCCATGATAATGTCGTCTCGCTGTGCTAACGGGGTATTGTAAATTGAACAGAAGTACGCATATGGCAGGTTCTACGTTGCTCATGACTGACTGATTGATCTGTCGAATAACTTTGGAACAGGAAGCTGGAAAGCTAGGTGGAACACTAATGAAACATTTCAGGTCACTTGAAGTTAGAACTAAGTTGACTACTATAAATAAAAATAATATATTTGTAATATCCCAATGAGTAGAAAATTGGATTTTCTGACGTTTCGTGGCTTAGTGTAAGTCACTTCTTCAGAGAATAAATAACCAAATTTGGTTATTTATTCTCTGAAGAAGTGACTTACACTAAGCCACGAAACGTCAGAAAATCCAATTTTCTACTCATTGGGATATTACAAATATATTATTTTTATTTATAACAATCAACCCAATGCTCAATTTATTCGAAATTATCAAATCAAACCTTGGTAATGACACCTATAAGTTGACTACTGTCTAACGGAAAATTAAGTAACACTTTAGTATCGGCTCCCAAATCCCCACTGAATTTGAGATTATTGTAACAAATCTGAAAGAAAGCAAAACAATAAAACTCAATACTACTCGTAGTAAATGTTTTAACACTCATGATATTGATATGAAATTCCCAGTTAAGCTAACGGGAAAGTTAAGGGTTGATTAGGAATCAGATATAGTCATCATATAGTATGCTAGAATGTTGATTATTTTGCTCAAAAAGTAGAAATAGTAGGAAATCCTGTTATAATAGCCGAATTGGTACCAGGTTGGTCAAAACAATCTCTAAAATCTGAAAGTACAGTCAGCTAAATATAGGTAGTTTCTAAGTATAAACTGTGTATACTCGAACCAACGAGTGAGTAGTGTTAATGATGAGTTCGAATTTTCAGAAAAGTAAATTAAGCTACCTGGTTGTGAACTAGATGAAAGACGCAGTAGACATCCAACTTCGAGATCAACAAGCTGGATTCCGTATGCATCGGTCGTGCACAGACCAAATTGCGACACTACGGATAATCGTCGAACAATCAGTTGAGTCGAACTCGTCACTGTACACCAACTTCATTGATTATGAAAAAGCATTTAACAGTGTAGATGGGAGGACATTATGGAAACTTCTTCGACACTACGGAGTTCCTGAGAAGATTGTCAACATTATCCGGAACTCATACGACGGACAACAGTGCAAGGTGGTGCATGGAGGACAGCTGACAGATGCATTCCAAGTAAGGACCGGAGTCAGACAAGACTGTCTACCTCGATATCTAAGGGAAAACACGGAATACAATGGGCAGCTCAAAATCAATTAGACGATTTGAACTTTGCAGATGACCTAGCCCTCATATCGCATACACATGAACAAATGCAGATAAAGACAGCCAGTGTAGCAGCAGTCTGTGCATCAGTAGGCCTCAGCATACACAAGGGGAAAACCAAGGTCCTCAAATACAACACGGGGAACAGCAATTCAATCACTCTTGATGGGGAAACTCTGGAAGATGTGGAGTCCTTCACATACCTGGGAAGAATCGTCGATGAACAATGAGGTTCAGATGCAGACGTATAGGTGAGGATTGGCAAAACAAGGACGGAATTCTTACAACTGAAGAACATATGAAACTCAAAACAACTTTCAACCAATATCAAAGTGAGAATCTTCAATACGAATATCAAGGCAGTTTTACTGTACGGGGCTGAAAGTTGGAGAACTACAACAACCACCATTAAGAAGTTACAAGTATTTATAAACGGTTGTCCATGCAAGATACTCAACATTCATTGGCCGGATACCATCAGCAACAGCCTCTTCTGGGAGAGAACAAACCAGTTTCCAGCTGAAAAGGAAATTAGGAAAAGACGATGGAAATGGATGGGACATACACTACGCAAATCATCAAACTGCATCACGAGGCAAGCCCTAACTTGGAATCCTGAAGGGAAGCGGAAAAGAGGAAGGCCAAAGAACACATTAAGTCGGGAAATAGAAGCAGATATGAAAGGGATGAATTACAACTGGACGGAGCTAGAAAGGATAGCCCAGGACAGGGTTGGATGGAGAATGCTGGTGAGCGGCCTATGTTCCTTCACAAGGAGTAACAGGCGTAAGTAAGTAAGTAAGTCGACAACACACTTATTCCATACCTAAAGCTTAGTAAAAATTACCCTTATTCAGCCTTTATAGTGCTTGAAGTCGCCACAAGTATTTGTAGTTTGACAACAATTTAACCAGTAACATTTATAATTGAATCGTTCCCCCCCCCACAGTGAAATCAAAAGTCATAAGCGAGGAGGTTCGAAGATATATTCGATAGATTACCAATATATCGAGAAGTGACTGATCTAAACTGACTAGCGGTTGCGGGAGAAGTTGAGCACGGTGTTCCTATTCGTGATCTGGTGCGGATGCGTGACCAAGCGTCTTCAGCTAGATGAGTCCATTAGAACTAATGCGGTCAGCATCAAATGCCGAAGAATTACATATGGCTACGTATACACAGCCACCGTCAAGGACGTCCTACTCACTAACTTCTTGAAGCGGAATCGTTGTTTAACGAAATTGTGGGAATGAAAAGCAAATATTCGGGCGCTTTAACCAGGTCGCTGGGTATGGAGGATCCATTTATGGGATAGGGAGACCCTGATTGCAGACTAGTGGCCCACATGTGCTCTGGGATCCTGAGGGAACAAACGGCGTATGAACCTGTTGTTGGTCACCGGTTACCATAGGACTGCATCACCTAACGTTGCTCTATTATCTTGTGAATTAGACCCGTAGGTGAAAGGCTCGAAGAGTGACCCACTAAAAAAACCACCTGCTTCTGTTTGGATACCTGGTCAGTATTCCAGTCCTCACAGAAA